TTGTTGGATTATATAAAAAATTTTGATATTTCATTCAATTTGAATTGGGTTGAATCCAATCCAGTCCATTTACATTTTAATGATTGGATTTGGACTGGATTGGGTCTCGTCCATTTGTAAATGAATTCACATTGCACTCGATCTCCAGTCCAATTAACACCCCTAGTAGATGGTTGGTGAAAATTTTGGCAACGTGCAGAACTGATCAAACTATATATATACCAGGGACCATGCATAGTCGACTATATAATATGATTTAGATATGACCTCCTACATGTATGGAACATGCCTAATTGAGCAAATGGCCTTCATGGAGATGAGATGGCGCAAGGTTCCTACTTAGAGGTGTAAATCAGGTCGTGCCTAGCACGAAATTGGACCAGCTCGACATGACAGCCCGTGGTCGTGCCGTGATGGGCCGGGGGTTCATAGTCCACCGGCTAGCACGGCATGACACCACTATTTGTGTCGTGCCATGCTCGGCTCATCCGAAAACTAGCCGTTGCCCCCCCCCCNGGCTAGTTTCAGCTTTTTGGGGATTTTTTACATAAATACCCCCTAACGGTTATAAATAGCTATATATGGGGTATTTATGTATTTTTCTTATGGAGGGGAGAAAAAATGACACAAATGCCCCTCCCTAATAGCTATATAACAACTAGTTGGGGGGATTTTTGGGTAAAGTTATAAATAATTTTACAATGACCAAAATACCCCTCTCAACAACTAAAAAACAACTAGTTTTTAGGGTATTTTGGACAATTGAATGATGCTCAATTCCTATAAATAGCCCTATCCTCCACCATTCTCATCACACCAATTCAACAATTGTCTTAATCTCTTCTCTCTGTCTTTGTCTCTCTCATTCATTCTCTACAATCTGAGTAACTCTGATTGGCTGATTGTCTGATCAAGTCTCAACTTTATTGAAGTTTCAACAAAAAGAAGGCTTGTTCAACTAGTTCAAGTATCTCAAGTTAGCAATTTGGGAGGCTTGGACGTTGAAAGGCTTTAACCGTTGAAATCAAGTTGGGATTTTGAACTGGCAATTCGGGCAAGTCCAACTAAATTAATTTTATCCTTTTAAAATTTAAAAAGAAATGGTCGGCTCTTCCCAAAACCAATTCTTCAACATGTTCACTGTTAACGATATTCAATCACATCATGATAGTGTTAGCACTGATGCTATTGATATTGATGGAAGTGGAACTTTCACCCCTGGTACTAATACTAGGGGAAAGAAAAAGAGGGCCTCTAAGTTGAGTAGCCCGGTTTGAAAAATATTTAAAGTAAAGGATATTGAGGGGAAGGGAAAAAGAGTATTTTGCCAAAAATGTAGAAAAGACTTTAGCTATTGTAGCAAGGGTGGTACTAGCCATTTGAGCAGACATTTGCTCACACATGAGAAGGAAGAAAAAGAAGAAGAAGAAGAAGAAAGGAGAAAAACAACAAAAACACAAAGTGGGAGGAGGAGTTTTGGTATATTTAAATATTCACAAGAAAAAATGAGACAAGAATTAGCAAAATACATTGTACATGCAGAACAACCATTTTTGTTAGTTGAACATACTAAACTTGAAAAATGATTGTGTAATTCTATAAATCCATAATATAAAAATGTTTCTAGGAATACTATTAGATTGGATGCTTTAAATTTTTTTATTCATATAAATAAAATTTAATTTATTTGTTATCAAATCTTAATTCTAAAGTTGCAATTAATTCTGATGTTTGGATATCTAAATTTAACATAAGTTATATTTGTGTTACTAGCCATTTTATTTATGAAAATTGGCTTTTAAATAAAAGAATTTTAAGTTTTACTAGGCTTGAATGGCCACATACTGGCCCAGCTATTGCTGCAAGCATTTTAAATACTTTACATGCTTATGGATTTTCTATTAGTTTTGATAATGCCAACAATAATGATTCTGCAATAAATATTTTAAAATCTCAATTAAAACCATGTTTAAATGATAAAGTATTTCATATCAGATGTGCATGTCATATCTTAAATTTATGTATTCAAGATGCCTTGAATATTATTTCTACTCATATTTCTAAAATTAGAAATTATATTATATATATTAAAAGTTTAGGGGCAAGAAAACAAGAATTTAAATATTTATGTCAAAATTAAGGTTTAAAATATAAACATTTTATATTAGATGTAAAATATAGATGGAATTCTACCTATGCTATGTTAAAAAGTTGTATTTCTCATAAATAAATTCTTACGGATTTTTATAATGCAAAAATGCCTAATGATATTATATTTGAGGAAGACTGGGAAATGACAGTTTGTATAAGAGATTTTTTAAAACATTTTTATGATGCAACTAATGAATTATCAGGTATTTATTATCCAACTAGTTGTAATTTACCTTATCAATTAATGGTGATTAGTGATTGTTTTGCAAAATATAAAAATAATCCACAATTTAAATGTATTGTTGAAATAATGGAAAATAAATTTAAAAAATATTGGGAGAAAATTTCTCCCCTTTATTGTTTAGCTACAATATTAGACCATAGGATTAGGAAAGATGGTTTATATGTTTTAGTTGAAACATATTGTGAAAATATGAATATTGAAATTGAAAATAAAAAAGAAGAAATTAATAATTTGTTATTTGAAATATACAGTTTATATGAATTTGAAGCAGTAGGAAATATTCCTACAACTTTAATAGCATCTTCTACTTCTGAACTTGAGCCCAGTAGTAGAAGAGAAAAACTTTTTTATTTAATAACTAGAAGGCAAAAATCTACTACTTCTACAACAAATTCATTTACTGAACTTAATTTTTATTTACAAACAAAATTTTCTAGTTTAGGTGAGGGAACAAATAATTTTGATATTTTAGCCTAGTGGAGTGAACATTCAAAAAATTATCCAATTCTCGCCGCCATGGCATGTGATCTACTAACCCCTCTTATGTCTTCAATTCTATCGGAGTCTTATTTAAGTGTAGGTAGTAGGGTGTTGGACGATAAGAGAAGGTGCATGAACGATGAAAGTATAGAAATGTGCATCTGCTTTAAGGATTGGCTAGATGCAAAAGATATATTACAAGACAAAAGAGGCCATGATACTACACCGGATATTTCACTTGAAGCAAATGATGAAAGTCATGATTCATGAAGTTTACTAGTTGTATAGAATTTTTTATTTTTTCAAATTATCGTAAAATTTTTCTAATTTTATTTAATTTATTTGCTATTTTTTAACAATGTAATTTTGTATTTTCAATTTGTAACTATATTGTATTTTTTTATATTTTATTAATTTATTCCATTTTCATATTTCATTCATCCAAGGTTCCAATGATCTAATCATTGTATTTGTAATTTCTATCATTCAAATTTAAATGAAATAAAATTCCTATTTTTCTTCCAATTTGTTATTACATCATTCTTATTTGGTTAAGTTTTTTTTTCATTTGTGTTAGATAACTTAGATTTCTAATTTCTCATTTCTTAATTTTTCAAATAGTTTCCAAAATTCAAAAGAAAGATAAATATTTTAGTTTTATAATTTTACTTAGAAAAAAATCAAAATTTTCAAAAAAAAAAACAAAATAATAAAAAAAATAAGTGTAATCCGATTCGGCCCAAGCCCAAATAAATAACCTTTCTTTGTCTTTTATAAAACCTATGTGGTCTAATCAATAGACATGGATGCACATGGTCACCACATCTTTTAACATGTCATGACGCAGCATTGCAATATTCATAGGGGCCCATGATGTCACAGATGTTGGACATAAAGCCCGCAGACAAACAAACACGCACGTGGACCACACTCAATCACGTGAATTACACGCGCATGTTCTGATTGTTCTGGCTGTTTGAGGCCCTCCGCCCTCAACAAAAATTACATCCCCATCAACAAAGTCACAGGATGTAGAAAGGATGCCCTGAGCCTAAGGTGGATCTACCTGAACCTGAAAGCTATTAAACCCCGTCATTTATTTTATTTGGATTTAGATTTGGATTTGAATATGAATGAATTAGGGAGAATGACTGTTCAGCACATTCCAGAATTCTTAGTCTCACTATACAGGCACGTATAGGTTAGATAAATTTTGATCATAGATCGATGCCAAAACTATTAATAGATTATAGGAGGATGTAATTTTATAATTTTGACGTGGAGTGTAATGTACTTCACCAAATAATTATATATAGATGGATGGATGGATGATGGGAGAGACGAGGAATAGAAGATGGCCAGTCGCTGGATAGAAATTAATTAACTTAAAGTGCCCAATTCCCATTTATGTCTTTAACCAAATGGAAGTCATGGGATTGGGGTCAAAATTTTCACTTGTCAATGTTCTAACTTCTGATCGCGGACCACTCCTTGCGCTCCATTCCATGGTCCATACTCGGTCCACATCTCAGATTAGAAAGATCCCCTTCACCTGCTTTTCCATGGAAACCTTTCGTCACTTTCACAAAAGACAGACATCCACCCTGAAAACCTTCTTGACCCAAATCTCACCTATATTCAACCAAATCTTTTATTACTTTGCCTTACCTTCTTCCTTACCACTACAAAAGAAGCAAATTTACCACTTACATATACAGAGAGCTTTTAAATTTCTCTCCAAACAATCAGGTCTAGCTATTGAGCACAAGTCAACCATTTTATTAATACCTTAACCCCTAATTTTCAAAATACAGATTATATTAAAAGGAATAGCTTACAAAAAAAAACATATTGTATATTAATCCAATTTCATGATTAATTTACATTGAAAAGCATAAGTTCAAGTAATATTTTAACCATTAAACAAGAACATATAATACTACTTTGTGGGATCCATTGACACCAACCCTTGAGTCCATGGTCCAATCATTTCTAGAGCGAAATAAATACGTTGACTATAGCAGATAACCTCTTACGAACCATGGTTACATAATTTGGGTTAAGTAAGTACTTGTGAGGCCTTTCGCCATCTTCAATGATCAGTTTGGATTCAACTTTCAAGGTCCAGTTCACTTCTTCGACCTCCAAAACAGATACATATCGTAATTCACAAATTTTTAAAGGGGGCCTTGTGAGAATTATTCAACTTTATCGTGTTTGGTTAGCGTATTCGGGTTAGTTCAAGGACTAATTTGTTGTTTTCATACGTGAAACTATATGTTATTGCTTGGATTCGTGTATGGAAACTTTCATTCTATTCCTAAAGTTCGATCTTTGGTGGGTTTTTTTGGAGTTGTCGTTAATGGGTATGCGTGATTTCCACAATACTTGAATTCTTCCCTCGTAGGAATTGAGATTGGACATGGTCTCCGAGGTGGGTTTGCTTTGATTGGTTTAAATTTTGAGTGAGATGCAGTGGAACTTGAGAATTTATTGATTTATTTGGAGGATTATAAGTGGGTCTTTTCTGGTTGGTCTTTTTAACGAATGAAATGCGAAAAAACTAGGATTTTTTTTGGTTTTCTTTTTAGATCTCGACGTGCTCGGATGTAAAGGTTGTTTGGGATCTCACAGAGCCGTTAAAGGAGTTTGACCGAGATTTTCTTTATTTTATTTTACCGATCGAATTGTAAGAATTCCACCAAAACAAAGATTGAATTGTAAGAAAAGAGATAGAAGATTTTATTTTCTGTATTTTGTTATGTAAATCCCACTTGCAAAATCTTATCTTTCCTTTTTTTTCTGTTTTTAATGTCAAATGTGGTTGAGTGGTGTTAATTTTAATAGGGTTTCTACTTTCTATTTGGTAGAGAAGACCCAAAATAGGCGGAAGAAGGGTTGCTTTATCGAGGTTGTTTGAAGTTTCAAATGTGGTGTTGGTTTGGGATGGATGAGTGTGGCTTGGGATAGTTAGTTTTAGAATTAATGGTACGGAAGAGCACCCCGGAGGGCTTATAGTTCTTAATTTGTGTCCTCAGTTAGAAACGGTGACTGAGTCTGATTCATCATGCCTTACTCTGAATTTCTTCATATGGCAAAAGAGAAGTTTGAATCCAATCCCTCAAAGATGACTTGTTCGGCTGATGTACCTTTTGTGTGAGTTCATACTCTTCAATTTTACGGATTTTTAAGTTTGTAGCTTAATCTCCCGCTTCAAGTCATGACGTTTTAAATTCCTTTTATGCAGTCCTGATAATGAATTTGTTGAGCTGGTTTGGGAGAATGGACAGATTCTGATGCAAGGTCAGTCTGGTAGAAGTCGAAAGAGTCCCTCGTGTACCAATCATTCATCTCATATTTCCAAGGTTCATGAGAAAGATGGAAGAGATGCTGTTACTCCCAAGATTGGAAGGTTGGGGACTATTGAATCTGTCTTGAATGATTTTAGTACGGCAGGACCTTCAGGTCATATGGGATTGGCTCAAGACGAAGAGATTAGCCCTTGGCTGAATTATTCGCTTGATGATTCTCTGCAACATGATTATTGTTCGGAGTTGTTTTCTGAGTTAGCTGGAGTTAATGTGAATGTGCTCTCTGCACAGAGTAATAGCTTGCCGATTGATAAAAACCATGGTTGTGTTCAGATGGGTAAGGATTCCCAAATTGTTTCTGCACATGTTGGTAAGAATTCAGAACACGGGAATGTATCGAAAGGTGTTGGGGGAGGTCCCGAGGTTAGTAGAACTAGTAGCAGTCTGTTATGTTCATCGTCGTTGCAACAGGGCCAGACTTCACTTCCAACTACTAGACCAAGAGTTTCAGATTTCATTAACACTAACACCAACAATGTTATGGACAAAGCATCTGCATCATGTGGGAATTCGAGTCACTCCCCAATTTCAACTGGTGGACTTCCTAACACGAAGATTCAGAAGCAAGATCAGGGACCCCCAAAACCACCACTGCAGCCTGGCAACTTCACAGGATTAATGAACTTCTCCCATTTCTCACGACCTGCAGCTGTTGTTAAGGCTAACCTCCAAAGTCTCGGTGCTGTAGCCAGTCCCGGTTTGTCTAGCATAGATAAGTTGAGAAGTAATGGTAAAGTACCCGCAGCTGGGAGTGGCAACCCTCTTGAGTCCATTATGATTGAATCTACAAGTGCTTCAAGAAGTTCCACAGGTTTCCACAACCAATTGGCTTCTATGCCAGTCAAAGTGGATACAAAGCCATCTGTGCCTAAGCCTCCCAAGGAACTGCTTTCTGCTGAACAGTCTGAAGTTGTTTGCCGAGAAGATGGTCTTAGGAAAAATATATCCCCCGATCAATTTGTTGGCCAAACCTCAAGTTTTGCAGCAAGTAATGCAGTGGAAAGACCAGATACTGAAAAAACTATGGAGCCAATGGTTGCATCTTCTTCCGTTTGTTCAGTCAACAGTGCTGGGGGAGCTTCTAATGATCTCAAACAAGCGTTGAAGAGGAAATCTAGGGATGCTGAGGATTCTGAATGCCAGAGTGAAGTAAGTGAAAATGTAAAAGGAAACATCTCTTCTCTTCCATGTTTTTTTAAGATTTATTTTCCTTGCCTTTTCTTGTTGGGTTTCTTTTCTCTTTTAAATTAAGATTTGATGCAGGATGTGGAAGAAGAATCTGTGGACGCAAGAAAGCCAGCTCCCCCTCGAGTAGGTACGGGCTCCAAGAGGAGCCGTGCTGCAGAAGTACACAATCTATCGGAAAGGGTGAGTAGGACAGAGAAAGAGAAAATGGAGATCAATTTGATTTCAATCTTTTCTGGTCCTTGAAATCTAAATCCAACTTAGTGATTTTTTTAAATTAACAGCGGCGAAGGGATAGGATCAATGAGAAGATGCGGGCTTTACAAGAACTTATACCAAATTGCAATAAGGTCAGTTTTCTTTATTCCCAATTCTTAGCGTCACTTCTATGATTGAATCCTCTGTGTCAACGTAGGCATTTGCAGCCCCCTAAATGCTTGATAAGTTGGCTTGTCCTTGTATTTTATCTTTCTTTCTTTCCTTTTGGTTCCTTCTGAATTGTGTCTTGTGGCATTAGGTGGATAAAGCTTCGATGCTTGATGAGGCCATTGAATATCTGAAGACGCTTCAGCTTCAAGTACAGGTGAATTTACCTTTGTCTTGATTTTCAACTTATGGGTTATCAAAATAATTATATAAGCTTAATTATCTCAGGACCTAAAACCATTTAATTTTTTATGTAGATTATGTCAATGGGAAGTGGACTGTATATGCCCCCAGTGATGTTACCGCCTGGAATGCAACACGTACATGCACCACATATGGCACATTTCTCACCCATGGGCGTTGGAATGGGTATGGGAATGAGCATGGGTTTGGGTTTTGGGATGGGAATGGTTGACATGAGCGGTGGTTCTTCTGGTTGCCCGTTGATTCAGGTGCCTCCCATGCATGGAACTCAGTTTCCTACCACTCCTATTTCAGGGCCTGCCAGTTTGCCTGGAATGGCAGGATCTGGCCTTCAGATGTTTGGGCTCCCTGGTCAAGGACTCCCGATGTCAATGCCTCGTGCACCCTTCATTCCGTTGTCAGGAGGTTCTTCTACAATACCAGTTTTGGCACCTGATGTCTCTGGTGTTGTGACCCCAATCAAAGAGTCTTCTCCAGCTTCCCCATCAAGTTCAAAAGATCCGGAACCAACCATAAGCTTGCAGGTGATGCAGAAGAATAGTGCTGATTGTTCAGAAGACAAGATGTCTAACCAGGTTTGGTACCCCTTTGCCATTTTCTTTTCATAATGGAGACGGATTTTCTTTTTGTTTATTTGGTTAAACGGAGCCATTCATTTGTCTTTGTCATGCCTCTTAAGGAATATTGACAATACTAATCAAAATTAAGCAATTTCATTTTCTTTCTTTGAAATTCACAAATCACTCTTGTACTGTTGGTTCCAGGCAACAAAAGAAAGTAGTAAACAATCTGCGCCGATGCAAAGAAATGATCAAACTAGGCATGCTAATAGCAATGAAAATAGCTGACTCAAGCAAGGGAAATGGAGTTATCTAGTACAGAAACTAGTAAGTGTATATTAGCAACACTTCCCTGCTTAATTTTCAATCGACCAAATAAAAAATGACCTCAATTATTATTTTTTCCTGCATATGGTGAAGTTTCAACATTGATTGAGGAAAATTTAAATTATGCAGGTCTGTAATGTGCTAAACCTTGTAACTGGAGAAGCATTAGGTAGCAACACATTGATAGAGGAATTGCTCCTTATTCAAATTTATTCGGTTCAATCCTGAGCTGAATTTATTCAGTCATCAGAGATGGTTCCACAGGGACATGGCTTGTGGTAGAACCCCTAATAAATTGTCTACTTCCTAACATCAAGGCAGTCGTCTACTAACTGCAATTTTTGAGTTGAAGAGACTGGATAGTGGCATGTGCATTTGTGCATGTGTGTCAAAGCAAATTCCCGAAAGATGGAACTTCTAAAAGACTGTATCTGAAGGAGTAATCCACACCGTTGTAAACATATACTTCTATTAATGAAAAGATTTTGATAGCTGGGTCTTTCCTCCCCATAATCACCTTTACTCTGTAATATGGACAATCTGCAGTTTGAGGGTTATGACCAAACAACCCTGCTCTTTGCTTTTAATAGGAAAGGCATGAAGACAGGAGCCATTGCGTATATTATGCATAATCATTAATCATGCCCTGAACATGAGTTGCTCAACATGAAAGGTCAGAGTAGATTGTTGGGGGATCACAAAAGGAATTACCAAGAGAAGAAGTTGGGTTTTGCAGAAATTTGACGGGCTTTGTGCAGCGTTGGCTTGGGCTTGATGTGTCGAAACCCAATGAAAAATATTTATTACTTTTGTTTTGGTTTAGATGTTTGTAGATCTAAGAGTAAAGATGATAGTAGTGTTAAGCTTTTCTTACAAAATTTGTTAATCTGCAAACATGGGGGCTTCTCCGCTGGTTACCAGTCAAAATGATTCAAGTTCTATCTCCTCATCTTTTGATTAGATGAAAAATTCGCTGTACAGTTGCACAAACAAAATGTCAACCAAAAGGGATGCACATAAATATTTGAGGTGCCAAAGTATTTTGAATTGTTTTGTCAAGGAATTCTTCCATCGACCAGTACAAGTCCATCATCATCTGGAACATACCCTTCATCCCTCATCACCAAGAACAAACTCTCCAAAGTTTCTTGGATCTTTGTAAATTCCGGATGCATCCAATTTCTAGCACAAAACATGTGAGCACTATAACCAACATGAATCCAACTATTTCCCGGTTTCTTTGTTAAGCCCTTCTCTTTAATCATTGCTCTGATCCTTGATGCATCTGCCCATCTTCCACTCGAAGCATATATATTAGATAAAAGAATATAGTAGCCTGGATCTTCTGGGTTCTTTTCGAAAGTTATCCTAGCTACAATCTCAGCAAGGTCAAGCCTATTATAAACTCTACAAGCTCCAAGTAGGCTTCCCAAAACACTGATATCAGGTTCAACCGGCATCCTCCTAATAAATTCCCATGCTTCATCAAGGTAACCCGATCTACCTAGAAGGTCGACCATACATGAGTGGTGTTCCATGTCTGGCAGAATACCATACTCATTAATCATGGAATTATAAAAGAACCAGCCCCACTCGAGCAAACCTGCATGACTACAGGCCGATAAGAGTGCTATAAAAGTGAGTTTATCAGGTCCAATCCTTTCTTCCTTCATTTTATCGAAGAAAGAAAAAGCCCTCTCTCCATAGCCATGAATCCCATGTGCAGCAATGATTGTGTTATATGTTACAACATCTTTCTCTACCATCTGATCGAAGACTTTCACTCCAAGTTCCAGATATCCACATTTGCAGTACATATTTATTAGTGAATTTCCAACACAAACCACAGATCCAAGACAGTTTCTGATCGCACAACCATGAATTTCCTTTCCCTGTCTGATTGTCCCCATTTCGGTGCACAGTGGAATGATGCTTACCAAGGTTATTGAATTTGGTCTATGTTTAGATTGTTGAATTCTTCGCAAGATGCCAAAAGCTGAATCGACATCCCCATTTAAAGCATGCCCTACAATCATTGAATTCCATATAGTGATGTCCGTACCTGACATGATCTGAAACAGGGACTCTGCGTCTCTCATCGACCCACAGTTGGCATACATATCAATCAATGCGCTTCCTACAAAAACATCAGATTCGAACCCATGTCTGAGAAGATAATTGTGCATCTCCTTTCCCTGTTTCAACATTTTCAGAGTAGCAAATGCAGGGAGAACACTGGCTACTGTGACTGCATTGGTACCTACACCCAATGCGTTCATCTTAACATACAGTTGCAAACACTCGTAGTATTCACAATTTTGGGAATGGCCAGCAATCAAGGTACTCCAAGAGACCACATCCTTGAATACCATCCTATAGAATACACGGCGGGCTACATGGGTGTCCCCACATTTACAGTACATATCTATCATAGCATTTGAAACAAACAAATCATTCTCGAATCCGCTCCTTATGGCACAGCTCTGCAAGCCCATTCCTAGAAGCTCAAATCCCAATTTACCACAGGCTGGAAGGATAGTTGCTACAATCACTGAATCAGGCCTCAATCCTTCTGATCTCATCCTCCTAAATAAGCACAAAGCTTCAAACCACTCCCCATTCTGTACCGCACCACAAATCATCGCACTCCATGATACTAAATCCTTACTAGGCATTTCATCAAATATGAATCGTGCTTCGTTTAAGCTCCCACACTTGGCAAACATATCAATCATGGCACATTGCACAAAAATGTTGGTTTCCTTTCTGTGATGAGACTCATGGAATTTGATCAAACTTCTGATCCTTCTACCTTCTTCAAGATCAGATAGACTAGAACAAGCCTTGAGAACAAGTGGATATGTGAAATTATCAGGTAGTAAGCCTTCTCTCAGCATCAAGTGATAAAAGTCCAGTGCTTCTGAGAACTGACCCGCTTCAACAAACCCCCTGAGAATAGAATTCCAAGCAAAATTATTCTTTTGGGGAAGTTGACCAAAAACAAGTAAAGCTTCATGCAGATTTCCAAATCCGACATAAATTTTCACAAGCTGTGGGCCAAACAACATGTCAGAGCTACTTGGGTGGAAGAAACCATTAACAACCAAGACACTGTGTATCTCCTTGACTTCAGATAAGGTGGTAGGTGACCTCAAATGAGTAAATAGGTTGTTGAAGAAGTGGCCTGGTTTTGAGGAGATATGAGAAGGCTTGGTTTGATAATTGGTTGGGTTCAGAGAAGGCAGAACAGAATGTTGAAGATAATGATTAGAATAGATGGTTTGGGTACTTTGATATGCAAATTCGTGAGGCAGGTTAGCAAGTGAAGGTGAAGAAGAGGTCTTGAGTAATGATAGAGGAATATGTGGTGCTCTGGGTTTATGGTGCATATTCCAGAGGGGTTAATTAGACAGAGGGGTTAATTAGGATTTAGGACTTGAGAGTTGAAAGGGAAGGGAAGGGCCAAAATTTTGAGGTAGAGGGAATTGCTTGCTTGCCGTTGCCGATAAAACCTTACCAAATTTTTTCCTTGCTTGTTGCTGATTTCAAATCTGCGCCCCACTTAATGGAAGCCCGCCACCTGTCTTTTCGCACGAATTCCCCCTCAAAGCATGCGAAGCTAATGGGACGGCCGTTCACTCCGAAAGCGCCTAAAACACCAATCTCCATGTTCCCGCTTGGGCTGTTCATAAGAAGGCCCAACCCGACTAACCCGGACCGACCCAACCCGAGTTTGTCGGGTTTTCATAAGCACCGGTTGGTTTCGGGTTGTACAAATTCATAAACCGATGGTTCGGGTCAAGAAAACCGAAACTGACCCGAACCGAATCGACTTAGTTCCTACTTAACTAAGTTACCTCTATCCTAATTTCTAGTTACAACCTAACCTAGTCTTCTAGTTCCTATTTAACTAAGTTGTCTCTATCCTAGTTTCTATAGTCTTTTACACCAAATAGGCAACCAATTAGGCAATTACAATTAGAATTAGGTGTCATTTTTTACTTAGATTAGAACTTAGAAAGTTTCTTGAAATATACAAATCTCAGCCTTCTTTCTATAAAACAATTTGACTTTCTATTTTCTTGATAAATTTTGTCTTCTATTCTAATTCTAACTTTTTAAATATATTTCTAGAAAATATCTTAAAAACTTCAATTTTCAGTTTTCAGAATAGATATTTCCTTCTAGGACTCTGTCCTTTTTGTACAGGAGCAAAACCGAAACTGACCCAAACCGACCCAACCCGACTCAAACCGACCAGGTCGGTTTTGCTTAACACTGGGTCGGTTTCGGTTTCCATCTCAGGTAACCCGACCAGGTTGGGTCGGTTGGGAAAACCCCAGTAAACCGACCCAACCCGACCCGTGAACAGCCCTAGTTCCCACCCTCACGCCATCGCCAACAACGATACATAGGTGAAGAAGGGTGATTTGGCCCGGCCTAATGATAAGAGGACACGTGGATGTGACCTAACTAGTAGGACAAAAACTCAGCCTGACATGCCAAGTCCGTAATGGATCGAACTCGGATAACCAGACCACCTCGGGACAAGTCCGCCTCGGGACAAGTCCACCTCAGGACGAGTATACCTCGGTGCAAGGTCACATCAGGACCACCTCGGTCCCAAGGCACTTCGGCATTCATATCAGATTGGATCTAAAGAGCACGAGCTCAGGCAATGCTGACCGACCACCGCATGGCAATCCTGGGGATCTCGTCACCGTACTCCATGTCTTATGGGATCATACCTTGTAATGGCTAGTATTATCTCCCCACTCCCCGATTCAGGCGAAAATGGTCAGCCTTATCGGTCGGTAGCATTATCCGCACCTAACACAGAAATGGATCCTGTCGCAGCGAGAATTCCGGAACTACTCCACCGAACCTGCAAGGACTCCAGTATATAAAGGCTCCACCCCCCGAGGGTAAGGGGACACGTAATCTCTGCTCTCTAGCTCTCTCACAATCTAATATCATTTTCAGCTCGCAACCAAGTGCTAACTTAAGCATCGGAGCGACCCCACTGGGTAAACAACCCCGGGTTCTCTGGTTCTAGATCATCTCCTACAAGGAGCAGCCAGGTTGCGCTACATCAATAGGCATTGGCATCACGCCGAACCCAGCAAAATCCATGGAGTGGATGAGAGGGAAGCCCATCGACAGGGAAAGCTTTTCTACCAATAATTTGGCAATACCTAGAAGTGACAACAGTCTGCTGGTTCAAGTTACTCAACTGATGGTAGTGAAATCCTTGCGCTTTTCGAATCTCCCTCGCTACAAGTGGAGAAAGAGATCCTAACCCATCTTATCGTTGAGAATGGGAAACAAATTTACAACATCTTCCTCGATCACGCTTCTGGAGGTACTTTAGCTGACCTGCTCAAAAATCTGGTGGTTCGTTATTGGAATCTGATGTTTGATGCTACACGAAATCAATTCTCTGAGGTCTTCATTTCCTCCTCTCTTCTTCTCCAGATGAAAGCAACGAGATTAAGGTTGTCGATTTTACAACATCTTCCTTGATCACGCTTCTGGAGGTACTTTAGCTGACCTACTCAAAAATCTGGTGGTTCGTTATTGGAATATGATGTTCAACGCTACACGAAATCAATTCTCTGAGGTCTTCATTTCCTCCTCTCTTCTTCTCTAGATGAAAGCAACGAGATTAAGGTTGTCAATTTTGGGCTGGCAAAGAAGGCAAGACAAGGACAAAAGAGCAAGAGAAAGGAAGGTGGGGCGTTTGGATTAAGAGGTACTCTGCTTTACATGTTGTGGGAATCCATCACATGCAATGAACACGAAACACTGGCCCTCCTATGAAAAATGGCCAAACAAGTTTAGTAGTTAAGAAGGATGAGCTCGGTTTGTTTCTAAAATGTTTAAGTGAACGAAGAAAGAGCATTTCCTCTCTCTTTCTCCCTAAAAACATAGCTCTCTTCAATGGCTACTGATGATGATGATCTGGAGGCTCCTAGCTGGAGAATTGTTTGGACGTACTCGCATGGCGAGCTGGATCAATCTGCAAAACAGTACTCAGAAGGACCGAGGTGGAAGACCCGGTGAGGTCGCTCCGATGCTTAAGTCAGTATTTTGTGTGTTTGTGAGCTAAGTATGAATGCTAGAGAGATTGAATGTGAGTAATCGCGTGTACCTTCGCCTTGAGGATCGATGCCCTTATATAGTTGAGTAGTCGTGAACCTTACGAAAAGGCTCCGGGATCCCCAGGCTGCATAAATAACATCCGTTTCATTTCCGAAGGAGAGCAATGCGCCATTTGATAAGGTTTATCAATTTCCTCCGATTTGGACGGGTGAGGATGAGCCCCGTTACTAGATGTCGTGATCCCGGGAGATTCGGAGTCCGTTGGGGAAGCTTCTGGAGTTGCTTACATGGCGCTTCGATTCTTTAGTCCCAAACTGGCACCTCAGTTCTTTGGCTCCGAACTGGCACTTTGATCCTTTGGCCCCGAACTGAATTAGGTGCCAAGGTGCCTTTATACCGAGGTGCTCAAGGTCCCAAGCTCCCAAGCTGCTAGTGAGGCTCCCTTGCTGAGTTGTCACCCTACTGGCTGATCGCATCCACATGTACCTCGATCGCTAGGTCGGGCCAAATTACCCCTCATCAATTGCCCCCGACTCCCCGTGCCAGGGGTCGCAACCCCGGTGCGGGGAGTTTACAGTCAGCACAAGCAGGTTGGCCTGATTTCTTCTTGTCTCACCTCCCGGTTTTATGGTCGGACCGATGTAACCCATGTGGCTCAATGGAAAAACCAGGCCACGTGTCGGGGACGCACGGATGCGACGTAGTTTATAAACTCCGCGGACGCCAAAAATCATGCTCAACTAAAATCTTTCCTCGAAGAGAGTGCGGCCGGTTTTCACAAGAGAGGTAGGATCACATTGATCTGAACCATCAATTCCTGGATATGGTGGCTATATATAGGGGAGACCCAGGTCCTCTTTCCTTCGTCGTTCGAAGTGCATCCGAGAGTTGAGGTCGCGCATCCATTCTTCAATTTGCGTCTTGTATCCGGGGTAGTTCGCTTCCTCTTTCGTCTTTCGATGAGTTCATTTGTTTCCTTTTTATTCATTATGTCTGGCCTTAGTTTAGATAGCCTTCTAAATGGGAACGGTGAGTCCGCTGGGGCCGAGGTGGGTACCTCGGTACAGACTACGGAACCTCATCCTGCCGAGGTGGGCACTTCGGCACAGGATGAGGACCCTAATCCGTCCGAGGTAGACTCACCTCGGCGAGAGCGAAAAGCTTCTGGCAAATCGGCCACCTCCTCACACCAAGGTCGCCTGCCAGATAGCTTCAGTCGGTCTACAATGACAACAGATAGGCTCCTCTCCTTAGTTGATTGCTATAGACTTCCTAACGACCTCGTTTATAATATCCCCTTAGGCAATTTTCCTTGGGATCATGGTCACGACGAGATCGTGGTCTTCGAGGAACAGCTCATAGCTGGCCTTCATTTTCCACTCCACCCTTTCATAATCAAGATCGTCAAATTTTTTGACATTACCATAGACCAGCTCCACCCGAACTCCAATCACAATATTGTGGGTACCATCTCCCCTTTTCAGAACTATAACCAACCTCTTGACCTCAACATTTTTTCCTCGATACTTTCCATCAAGAAGAATTCTGCCTATGTTCTACCCAAGCACAGGCGTAGTTACTACATGTCTCCTCGCCCTGGGTACAAGTTGTTACATGAGCTCCCCAACAAAGTCCCAGCCTGGAAGAGGCGTTACTTCGTAGTGCGTAACACGGAAGGGTGGCCTTTCCCAACCCACTGGAGACCCGCCATCCAGGACCCCGACGTTAGGCTGGATAAAAAGGTGCGGGAGGAAGTCCAGGCTTGGGCGAAGCTAGGCTTGATGTTCGAGAACTTCATGACCGAAGAGAAGCTAACATAGGCCAGCCTAAGTCCTCCCGGTAGGTCGCTAACTGTTGTACTCTTTTTCTTATTTTGTTTTACTTTGATGTTGCATCTGACTCTGTTCGTTGATTTCTTGCAGTCATCATGGCCGACTTCTCTGCCGACAAGCTCTTCAAAGGCATGCAGAAGGTTATGAAGAAGAAGAGGGTCTCCAAGAAGGCCCGCGTTCAAGAGGAGGTTCTCACTTTGGGCGTTGGTGTCACCATCTCCAAACCCCTAGCTGACACCGAACAACCCCCGGTAATCAATCTGGTCGTGGAGGACCAGGATAGGGCTTCCCCATGCCAATTCCCCGAGGAAACTACATCTTCCGAGGCCCAGCAAGCTCAGGAGGCTACCCCATTGGGCAGCGATATCCCAGCTCGGAGCGTCTTGAGCCCGAAGCTTGGTCTCCTCAAGAGCAAAGACATGGTCTTCCCTGAATAGGTTACTTGGTGGCCGAAC